GGGGGGGGAGTGGCAATCCTCTGACTGAGATTAGAACAGGCTAAAGCTTGGACCTTGTAACCTAGCTATGCGCCCAGTTTGGAGGGTGAATATTAGTCCTTACTTGAGGAAGGAGAGAATGCTCTGTACGAAGTGCTGACTACAGAATCCCTCACTCTAATCAGTGATTTTAGTGCGTATTCAGAATAGACGCTGAAAAGTAGAGAAGCGTGATTGGAAAGGCGGCTCTAGCGACCTCAACAATAACGGCATGAAGTTGTTGCGGTTTTCTGTAAACAACGGACTGTCCATTATGATCATCTTCTTCGAGCATCGAAGCATGCATTAGCATACCTAGTAGAGGAACTCTTATACAAAAAAGAACGGGATGTGTGGCTGACATGCGTGTGAACGTATCTAAGATGAGAAGCCTAGTGCTTTCTACTTCTCCTTCCGTTGCACTATTCAGAAAAACGGAGAAACGGATAAATGGAGCAGGTGGAGAAGTTAAAGTACCATGTTTACTAAGAAAATCTGAAGAAGTGATCGACAGATTTAGAAAGGAGTTGAGTCTCAAACTGTCAATGATCAAGTCGATCATCATCCCTATGCTGACCTACGGTCATGAGTTTTGGGACACGATTGAAAACAGCGGCTGAAATGGGCTTTCTGAAACGAACCGCTGGCTTCACTTATCTCAAAATTGTCCGGGGTACTAGAATTCTGGAGTGCCTTAGTGTACAGCTGGCATTTCTTCAGACTGAGAAATCACAGCTGCGATTGTTTGGGCATATGTTGCGAATGCTTCCAGAAAAGAATGCGAAGCAACTACTGCATTCCTTGCCGACCGACAGAAAACCCTATGAACGGCCAAGATGAATTTGGTGCAAGTGCTGTGAAAGAGAATTTTCTCGACTGCGTCCATCTTCTGCCGAGGCTCAAACTCTGGCATAGGATCGAGTACACTGGAAGCATTGCCAGTCGTGTCTGCCCTGGTGACTCAAAAGGACAAGCGGTTTTGGAAAATGAATGAATGAAAGAAAACGTTTAGCAATCCAAACTTTTGATTGCATAAATGCTGTGGGTACTGGCGTTAACAGGATTCAACAATGTGCCCTAATTTATTGGCCCCGTCATTTCATAGAAACGTTTCGGCAGCGGGTTCCCGACGCGATCTGATAATCATCACTAAGTCATTGGCGACATACATAAATCACTGCACACTCGATCGTTTCTGAAATATGTCAAATTGTATGGGAAACGGCGCGTCCCCGGGTCTTCTATAAAAGCATTTAAGGCTATTGCGTTGTGTCTATACGTGCTGCAAAATGACTGCGAAAGGCGAGAGCTCCAAAACAGCGAACGGCTCTTCCCCAAGAGTCATTGCCTTCTGCTCGGTACTCTTCAGCACAGTGGCAGTGACCGCCTGTGTAATCACTTTCCCTTTGA